AATGCAGCAAAATCATATATACGTGAAGCCATTTGACAGCCTATCCATCAAGAGATCACAAGTAGTTCTGTGTTAATGCACCCAAAGACGAACAAGTGACTAGCGTCTGCAGGCATGTGCATGCTGTCTCTCTTGATTTCCCTCCTGCCCCCATCTCAACCACAAAAAATTTTTTGCTCCCTAATGGCTACAGAAACACATACAGAAAAACAGCTGTCTGAATTTCAGATCACATACTAACATGCATGAATAACAAAGGAAAAAACCCCTAATCCTTATATTAGGGAATATTAAGATGGGGGGGGGGGAAATCACGTAAGCCTTCTACACACATTTCCTTCTGTCTGAATCAACAGAAGACAAGGGTGTTTCTTTCCCTTCCCAATGTTCCTCAGCAGCAGGGCTTGTCACCAAACTCAGGTCTTGCATCAGGAATAGTCTGAAGTATTTCAAAGGGGGGAGAAATAACTCTCCACTGGTGTTTCAAAGAAAATTAATTCTCGGGAATTCCCATGAGATGCAGTATCTGGTAAGTTCGGGAGGATAAACATTAAGACCACTGAAGTCCCAGAATAATATCTTACTTAAAGGAGAAGTTTTAAATATACCAGTGTTTCTGCATCTCTGTTATCAAAGCTTTAAAATATTTTGCTCAGCTGGTGTTGCTACACAGCTGCCTTAGCCTCCAAGTCCACCCAGCTTTTACTGCTCACTCCTTACACACCAGCCTGTGCTCTGGGCTTCGGTGCAGCTGAGAGGATCCTCATTCTTTCTCCAGCTATTCAGCTTGGAAAAACCATACATTTACACAAGACAGGAGCCAGAAAATTACTGGATGGTGGTCAGTTAAATAAAACACTTGGCACCAGTAAGACACATGGGGTACCATAGGTCTTTACACTTCATGAATTCTCTGCTATATTATTACTAACACAATTACTCTGGGACAGTTGTTGAGCAGTGCAGCAGAGAAAGCATTGGCTAGAAAGTTGTTAGCTGCGCGCACACAAAAAAAGAAGTCCTTGTCTGCTGCTATAAAGTTTTTACCTTTAATTCCTGAATTGTAGTCAGTTAGTGACAGGCAGAGGACACAAATCCCAGAATGTGTTTGTGTTCAGACCGCCTCACATCACACACGGCAGCAGAACCTCTCCCCAGTGTGAACAGAGCAGTTGTGCCAGTCCTCATCCCTCCCTCTCTGCCTTTGCGGATGAATTGGGAAGTGGCATTTTTTTTTGAAGCATAGTCCTTTTGGCAAATTCCAGCAGGAGCCCTCTCTTCCATCAGCCAACATACCATTGCATGATGACCGACTTCCTCACTCCTTCCATTTTCAGCTAACTTCCCCCACCACCCCCCTGTTGATTTCTGTCCTTAATGCCGCATTTTGTCCATGAGGCATTTCATAAAATTTTGTGGCTGCAACGAGAGTTGCAATTGTAGCAGAATCAGCCAGCCCTGGAGTTGAAAATCTCTATTAACAAGTTATACTGCACACTGGCTACTGTTTTATGTACTCTTCAACTACCTGTAACCTGGCTCTTAATCACCTGATTTCCCAGGCCCACATTCAGAGAAGTGGGGAGAAAGGCAAATTTGTCATATCCATCACAGCTGGGATCTGAACCTCTTGAAGGGCCCATTTATCATGTGATAAAACACTCCAGCAAAAAACAAATGCATTTGTCTAAGTTTAGGGGGGCAGGTGAGAATGAGATGGGTATCAGCACAAGGGGGAGGGAGGATTGGACCTCTGTTTATTCTCAGGCATCCTGAAAAACACAGCATGGGTTAAGTCGTCTTCCTTATGACCAGAGCCACACTCTTGCAGAGCAGCCCCCTTGCCTCCTGACTGCAGCACAATGGACTGCCCGAGAGTCCATTAGCAGCACAGCTGGCACGAGCGCCTCCGGCTGCAGGCAGCCAAGGCAGCCCCGCACCACCAACTCTCCCAACAAGGCAGGGAGTGGGAGCCTTAAATGGCAGCCAGCTCTGCCAGGCTGCTGGCGCCAGCCCCACTCGGGGAAGCTCTCCAGCCAGCCCTCGCGATTCACAGCAGCCGTCGGGCTGTGTCAGCGTCAGCCCAGACTCGGCTCGACCACGAGGCAAACCATAAGAGCAGGTAACGCTGGAGCAAGGCTGTACGCAGCACCGACCCCATCTGCCCCAGCAGCAGACACAGCTGCCTGGTGGGGCAGCCATACTAAGGTGGAGGACTCATATGGCAGCGAGTGTGCAGCACCAGCCAGCGCTGGAGGGGAAGGTGATGGGTTGGCCCCGCAGGACCGCTTTCTTCACCAACTTCAAGTGCGTGTTTCAAGTCATGAGAAGCAGCAGCAAGAGCAGGTCTCCGTGCAAATGTTTCAAACCAAATCAATACTCCAGCTGAGCGTACTTAAATGTAAAAGCTGTCCTAGACATGGAGCAAAGGCGTCTCACCAGCAGAGGAAAGCCCTTTGCTTGCTCTGTGGCACCATCTAGCGCTAACAAAGTAAAAACGCTCTTGGGAAAACAAATCCATTCCGGGTTACACCAAATTTAGAAATAAAGCAAAATACAAGCACATAAATACATATCCAAAACATGCAAGGCAACTAATGATAGCCCATTTTCACTCTACACATGATAGGGCCTACTTCTGTCAGTCCAGTATCAAAACATTTCTGTCGAGTAATCTAAACTGGTTGCACACCAGTTAACATCCCAGCAGCGTGCACCTCGGAGCCCAGCCATGCTCATTACGACTATTCCCATTAGACTCAGCAGATGAGCCAACAACAGCCATATGTTCTTTAAACGTACGTGCAGCCTTGCAGCTGCCTCTCGCTCCCGTTCCAGGCTGGAGGCTACACTGCTGCACCGCGTACGCACTGGAAATCACAGCTGAAGGGCAACAACAGCGGCTCTGAAACAAAGACCCGGCAGCCTTTCGGAAGGTGGTCAGGTACAGCACTCATACACATCATCTCCAGCAGGTACTAAGGTACAGGAAGAGATGAGCCCAGCTCCTGGGGACGTTGGCCTCTACGCACCATTAGCTCAGAGGTTAATATCCCTGCTCATCATACTCAGACAACCACAGATCCCAAGTGGTTCCCTCTTGCTCTGGAAAGTTACATCTACTTGCTCCAATTTTATTACCACTACTAGTCGTTGGGGTTGGGGGGCTTCTTTCTTCTATTTCCTACATCCAAAAAAGTTCGCTACTTCTTATAAACCTAGATGATAAAAAAAAAATTTTTTCCAAGAGCAGCTCAGTTCTTACCATTTTTACAGCTGCTTATTCGCAGCATCCGAGGGATGATTCCTGTCAAACTAAACGCCAGATTCTTCAGCCTCAAGTATTCCAGCAAGTTTGACTTTAAAATAGTAGAAAATGTGATTTTTCTGCAAAGATGAAGTCTCCGACGTTAGAGTTCACATCCTTAAATTGTGTAGAGTTCTATAGCTTTTGAAATGTTGAAATCTAGTTGTTTTTCAAACTCCCCATTGGAGCCAACTGAATAATAACAACTTGCATTCTCATGGACAAAAACCGCTTTGAAAATCTGAACCAAGTGATAAATATGATTAACTCTAACAAACACAGCAGTCTTAAAATTCACGTTTATACTTCAGATGCTCCCACTCTCTTCACTATTTCTGTAAGAATTCAGCACGTATGGAAACATACTTATTTTATGTACTTTTAACAGAATCAGTTTTCATTCAAATACAAATAACACCCCCCGCTTTAAAAGAAAATTCCTCCCCCCATCTGTAATAGAATTACAAATTAAACTTTCGGAGAAAAAATTATGTTAATCTATAGAGCTGCTTAAATATACATCAGTGACACTTTAGCATGTAAGTAAAATGACACAGGTAAAGAGTGAATCATTCCAAAATGAAACTAACCTTCCTCTTCACCCCACCCCCAAGTGTTGGTTTTAAATCAGCAAAAACCTATGACCTAAATAGCGATTAAGTCACTTTTACATGTTCTTGCTGGACAGCAAACACCATTTCTAAAGTTATCCTTGCTAGAAATGAATGTTGAAGTTCTAATGGCTAGGGCAGGCTCCACATTCAACTAACCCTCAGTCGTTTTGGTGTGGGCACCTCCTTTAGCCTCCAGCAGAGCCCTGAGGCACACAGGACGCATCTGTCACAGTCAGTATCAATACTCAAAGCACAGTTTGGTGCAAGAACCTTTCTCACATCTCTGCTGCTCCCATTAACGTTCTCAATCCTTTCTGGATTTCAGCATATTCAGGTAAATCTTGGAGCATATATGTGTATTCTTCCAGAAGACTTCAAGAGTTTGCTACACATATAACCAGCCCAACTGTGGAAGCAAGTGCTTTATCTCTATGGCAGATCTAAGAACCTGTATGTCCTCCGTCATCACTAGAAACACAGTCTTTTTTTAAACCGTAACTATGCCTTGAATGATTAGCCACGATTAAGGAAGACCGAGGACTGGAGAATCAAGTATTTCTCTCTATTTCATATTGTTAAAGATGACAAGTTCAGATCTGACAATCACCCAATATAACAATTCTGTTTTCTGAATACAAGCCTTTGGGAAGTGAAGTGATAACAATGAACCACCAAGATGTTACCATCGGCAGAGAGACAAAACACATGCATACCTTTTATTCTGAGTGGGACAGAATTGCCTAAGATGTGTCACCATCTCAAATAATGAAAGCCAACAGAAAGGTAACAAAAGGTCAGTTAGAAAAAACAAAAACCACAGGATAAACGAAATGGGCTGTAAGCAAATGTCTAGTGAATAAGCCACAAAGATTGGATGCCACTGACTTTCAACACTCAAACCTCAGCCAGCAGGTTCCCAAGACTTAGTCCTTGATCACATAATATACCTGCAACACTTGGTGACGAGATCTGCAGACAAACGGCCACACACAAAATCTGCCTGAGATTAAAAAATAATATTCATTTTCAAATGGCGGTGCTCAGCAGGACCTGATCAACAACAGGGAAAGCAAGCACAAATGCGTTAGTTTCCAGTTTTATTTTTCATGTTGGTGAAACACATAGCCTCTTCTCAAGAAGCAGCATCTGTAGAGCTGTTACAAACACATTTTGTACTCTAATACACCACAGATTTGGAAAAAGAACAAATAAAGCACAGGTCTCACACTGCACTTGGGCATACTGAGTCTTAAGTTACAGATAATTTAGAAATCTTCTGATTTTACATATACATTGCATTGGCCATTGCTCAGCCTTCATGCACAATTTAATTTTATTTTTCTTATGGTAAGCACTGGTTTTGGAAACTTTCTTGCTGGTTATCTCTTCCACTTTAAATCACTTAATGATATTTACATATGTGTGCAAATTGCTTTGAAAGATAGAAACAAACACTAACACATGATATACAGATGGCTTCTTCTATAGTTAAACATTTACTAAAAGGCAGTTAACATTCCTATCACTTCCATTGCCTAAAATAGGAGAATAAGTTATATAAAATAAACCATCTTATTTTCAGACACTTCATTTCTGCAGATTTGGTCTTTGCAGCAACATTGCAATCAAAAATTAAGATTCTACTCCTAAGATTCAGAGAAGCCCCTTTCAATTCAATGGCAGCTTAATGTGTTTAGTACAAGTTACTTTTGTCCCAGATTTTCCACACCCGGCACAGGAAAAGAGAAAAAAGCTGGGGGGGTAGTGGGAAGACAGTCTTGCACATCTATTTTATTTTTTTGGCAATACGAAAAGTATGCTTTAAGAATCTAATGCATAAATTTTAATTTTTCTTTTAAGAGCCTGTTAGTGTTACAAGCACAGTTTAAATAAAGCCTGCAAGTTCTTTCACAGAAGCACACAAGGCTCCCATTTTTCTTCTTACGCATGTCATCTTCTCAGATATATACAACTGTTCACACACACTAAAAAGCAGACTCCTTGGGACCATTCAACAAAACTGATTTCAGAATTGGAAGCAGCAGGAAAAGCTTGAAGAAAATTACTTAGTGTTCCCAGTGCTCCTACATGTGTGGTTTTTTTCTACTTGTGATAAAGACTCCCCACAAAAAGTGCATGGTCACCTTCATGAACAAATCCAGAAGGCAGAAGTTGAGTAAACTGGAATGAGTTGCTCCAACGGTGGAAAAACAAGAGTGACAGGAAAGTCTTCAAAACCATCTTTCATGTATACTTGTAATCAGAGAAAAGCAACTCAATTCCCAAAATTTCATTTAGACTATTTTATAGAAGAGCAAAAACTTCTACATACATCATTAATAACAAAGGGAAATTACCTGTCAAGACAGTAAAGAACTACAGGTGTAGTCTCAAATAGCTCTAAAATCCAAGCTGATTATTACATAATACAAAGAAAAAACCCCTGCTTTTTGAACACCCATTAAATTGAATAATGTGACTTTTACAGTAGCCCTGCCTGCAAATCATGCTGTAGCTTGTGCACCCATCACAATACTACTGAGTACTATCCACCCCAAGAAAAGTGAATATTAACCCTCTGAAAGTTTACCTTCATCACAATTATGTCTGACGCACCAATGTCAGACATCACATATATGTCAGACATACGCTTGATATTTTTGAAGACGTCCAATTCCTTAACATGGCAGAAACTGTACCAACACTTAACACTGCTTTTGGTCTACTGTTTATTGAACTTTGGGCATCATGTATCACACACAAATCCCTGCTGGATTCCAAGTGATCTCACCCTAGTGCAGACTTGATTAGGTTCTTCTGAAGAAACAGACCACAGGTCCAACTTCCAGTGTTGTCAACTTTTAAGCATAAAATGGTCAACTTAAGACACTACAGAAGCTTGCAAAACACATGATGACGTGAAACCAAATAAAAATAAGAGAAGATGCATTAAAATTTGGTTACTTTGGATTCTGAGCTAGTTTGAAAAATGCCGTTTGTAAGAGATAGCTGTTCTATGCTTTGAAAATATAAAAGAATGAAATGTCTTCATAGACTAGCGTATTGATTAGTAAATAAACACCTAGACCACTCATGAACCTAAACATATCATTGAAACATTCCACCTAAGTTTTTGTTAAACATTGTCTTCAGAGCTTTATATTCAATGCACGTTATCTGCTACATTCAATTTCTTTTTTGGTTATGGCATGCTTCAGAAACACTGCTAAGAAAGGTCATCCACTCCTTCCATTCCCAAGCTGTACATTACAAACACTATGCACACATTTATTTCCAAAGACTTCAGGTCAATAAAGTTCCTAAGATGAAAGATGCGTGTGTGCTTTGAAGCTTGCAAGATAGCTTCAAACTAGTTGACTTAGTATTTTCCACACCCACATGGATACTGCTTGCAAAGAATAAGATATTAAAATAATATTCCACAGTGGAGTAAAAACATGTTGCAAATAAACTGAATGCTCCCCCTAGTGCTTATACTAGTGAAAAATCCTGCCTGGCACAGTCTGCCTTAAATGGTGCTAAACAGGAGATAAATAGCCAGATGAATGATTGTATATTTAACTCAGAAAACAGTCACAAACATATTACTGGGACCAAAAAGCGTCAGCTGTTGAAATCCAGCATTTAAAATTTTGTACCACTCTCCCTACTCCAGTGCTTCTGGGGTTTTGGTTTCTTTTAAACTGTGCTTTTAGTAAAAATTTCTTTCAAATTTTTCCCGTCAACTGCAGGAAGCTCCTACCAGGTAAGAAATGAGTTCCAAAGATGTTTCAAGATGATAGGCACAATGATGCTTTTTCTCCTGTATTGTACCCAGAAGCTGCCAAGTTAATATTATCATTCCCATATCACAATTGCAATGAAGCTCTGGTAAATCTGGTACCTTTGGATATGCTCAACATCACAAATAAGTCAGATATTTAAGACAACCTATGTCTGTAGTTAGCACAGTCCACCAGAATATTCATCCTCTTCCTCATCAGCATGAGAGCCCACTGTGGCTGGTCCTCTTGCTTTGTCTTGTGCAGCATTTGGCGATTTCTTCTTGATTCCACCTCCTGGGACCACCAAGGTAAGACCAAGCTTGGCATACTGACAATAACAAGACAAGTTTAATTTCTGTACTATCACAGAAGTAAAATTTTGTTGGATTACATTGCACAGAATTGACCAACGCTTACAATAAACAAGCAGGTTAACATTCAGTACAGAAAACAGATTGATGCCGCTTTCAGAGTATATTTTTCCAGCTTAGAGTAAGCCTAACATTGGTTCATTTTTTCTACCTCAAACACTCTGAGAATGGGATGCGAGATCTGTACTGATAGTGATTATAGAATAACTTGGCCACATCCTACAACTTCTGTAGTTCAAGCTTTACGTAAAAAAAAAATAATTTTTCAGTATGCAGCTCTGCATACATTGTCTAGTAATGGTTCATGTAAAAAGCCTTACGAGTGTTTTTCAGTAAGACTAGTACCTTAATTTTTACTATTCAACATAGTAACAAAGTAAAATTAGTCGATACTGTTACAAAGTTTGGCATGGATGGATGCCTCCTTTACTTCACACCTTCCCTTAGCCTTATACTTCCTACAATTTACAAGTACTTTTTTTTTTTTTTAAAAAAAAGGGGGGGGATAGGACAAAAATACTTTCTTAAAATAAAAAAAAATCTTTCACTAATTAGTACCTTGCTAAGGAATAAGCGCTGAAAAAAACCCATTCAACAATGCCATCCTGTAGGCATCATATTCTGTAATGTTTATGCACGCATATCAGTTATACGGTATTTCTGAGATAAAGCATAAGCAGCAAACTGTGCTGACCCCTAAGGAACCAAGCAGAAGGGAACTGAATTTTGGTCAGCTCGTCAAACTCGGCAAATCCATAACAAACTGCTCTTTCACCTAAGCCTTCCCACTGTCTGAAAGGAACAACAATGTGGGAATTTACATTGGCAGGCAGCAGAGTAGAAGAATACAGAAAGATCACAGGCACAGGGCAGGATGACAAAGCAAGTCACAACACGTACATGGACCCTGCTCTTCCTATTTCCCTCTACTAGGAAAAAAAAAAAAATCTCTCAAACTGAACAAGCAAAAGGATTATAGAAGAAAAAAAAATCCATAGGAACTGCCTACTTACATCATTGTCCATGTATTTGAAGAGTGGCAAATTACAGACTTCAGAAACTTGATCCTGATCTTGCTGGTCATACCCTTCTAGAAGTTGCTCTAGTGCTGCACAGTCTTCACTTCCATTAAATCCTGGTATGCTGAAGGAAATTAAGAGTTCATTCAGGGCATTTCAGCAATCTACTTGACACTCAGCTATTCTCTCTCTAAATACTGCTGATTAATAGCAGAAGAGCAAGCAGCTTTTAAGAATCAGATGGACTGCTTATTCCACAAAACTGCCTATAACGACTTTGATTTCTCCAGGTACATGGATCATATTCATAAAATTAAACTTTCAGCAATATTAGTTTGCATGCTGAGAATAAGACCACAATCATAGTCAAGACAAAAAGGGAGTATTAGAATTCTTCAATTCTTCCTGACTAGTCAATAAACTCTTCCTCCGCTTTACATACAGAAAAATTCTGTAATGAGTTTCTATATATAAAATGCAAATTGAAGACTTGGAAAATATGAGCAAGATGTTTAAAGATTGATCTTGAAAAATTCTTTCTAAAAATAAAGTACAATTTAACTTACACATATGTTCAAGTCATTTCACTAAAAACACAGTTTAAGTAAAAATATGTTGTTTCAGTATTTTGTTACTGAAGTCCTAATGAAAGCTGAACTGGAGAGTAGCTAGGAAAGCTTCTGGAACCAGGGTTAAACACTAATCCAGATTTTGACACGAGAATTTTCTCCTGGATGTGTAAAGAATGCCTTCTTCATTTCAATGTATTCAACTGGACTACTTTCTGCTTCCTAAATTATCTTTCAGTTCAATCAACTATTTAAAAAAAAAAAGTCACAAAAAATGGAAGAAAAGCAAGATTTCTAATGTATGACAAGGGCAAGATCTCCTAGATCAACATAACCAGAAATGTAATAATTAACATGCTGCAAACTTTTTTTTAACAAAAACATTTAGATTAATCTTTCCCTCAATCTAATCACCATACTAGATAGTTTAATTGATTATACTGGGATGCTGCTATTGCGCATTTTGAGACTGCATTCCATATTTCCATCCTCAAATGGTAATAAAATATGGTAATGACAAGTTAGAATTTCAACATTTTAAGGGCCTCCACACATGACGTGGCAAAAGGATTCTGAAAACATTCAGTTAGCAACATCCAGAAATACACACTTTTAATCCTAAACATTTGTTTACAATAGCTAATCCGTCTCTGTTCCATTTGGGAAAAAAAACCCCACAACCCAAAGGATATCAGTAAGGCAAGAATCCCAACCTTAACAGTATTCTGCTCACTTTTAACAAGGAAGAAAACCCGGGAAGAACTTCTAATTTCCATCTCATTTCACCTGTTGCACATAATTACTTCTTTATGACTAACTTTTATTTTAGGTTCATTAAGAAGAATCACCACGGTAATTACAGCTAAATCTCTTAAGAGTGAAAAAAATTCCTGATGGCCATATACCAGAGCATGCTATTATTGTGCTGTAAGTCAACAGAAGTATAGGCTTAAAATTTTTTGACAGACAGTGTTTCCATTGCTCTTTCATAAGAATAGATCTACATTAAAGAAACATTCAGTCTAAAATTATAGGACATGAAGCAGACTTACCTATAGCTTTCCCTCACACATCTTTCTGCGGCAACATAATCATTTCTGTGAAGATGAACTAAGACTTGAGCAATAGTTTTCTAAACAAAAACAAAAAAAACCCAACCTGATGATTCTTTAGAAATTAACAGTAAAATATGAGAAAAATACTGGACTGCTAATATTTAGCGTGAAAAAGGTCATTACGATCCGCAACGATTCTAAGATACTGACACAACAGAGTCGGAACAACAGAGTGAAAAAGTAGTATGCAATATCCTCAGCTGGTATGAAATAGATTATCTCCTTTAACATTGTAATGAACTGTTGCACCAAGTAACAGTTTTTCTGGTTTGTTATTTTTGATAACATCTTTATTTTTGATGTGTTTGTTGTTTTTGACAGCTCCTGTAGATAACAGCAGCTTATCTTCAACATTATAGTAGTGAAAAAAGCACAGTTAGAGGTTGGGGAAACATGCACTACCACAAATTGTCATCATTTAGCAAGAAACATATCCCTGAATCAAGAGGTACATATTGTGAGTCAGATGTCAGCTGTCATTAGTTACCCAGAAAAACTTGAAATGCACTATCAGAAATCGTCTGTTAGAATTTACCTTATAGCATGTTGGGTAATTTTCAATTTCCTTATAAATACTTTTTTCCTTTTGAAGAGACAATGCAGCCTCATCTAATCTAAAAAAACCAAGAAACAGTTAGGAGTATCAGTGCCAGGAATACAGCATAATGAACCTGAGGCTAATTACAAAGTGTTTAACTAATACACCAGCAAGTCTACTGGAATAAAAAGCAACACAACTAAAAATCAGCAGTAGATCTTACTAACAGAGTAGATAAAGAAATATATAGTCAGCAATTCCTTTTGTATACATGCAGGCTAAGAACATCTCTGGTATTCACTCAGAGAAACCTCATTTTTCGTAACACTGTACAAGATGAATGCCTTGTTACGTACCCTAACAGATTTCTGTATGTCATGAGGTTACTATAAGCTATCAGTAAGTCTGATAGCCATGAACTATCAATATTAAGTCATAGTAACTGCTTTTGAGTTTGAATACTCTTTTAATCATCATATTTAACTTCTAGAAATTAGCAATAGCACGTGAGCTATAAAGCAGCACAGCAACCAAGTCTTTCAGATGTTCTGAAGCTATGTTGACTTGCTTTCACAGAAAGACTTTCAAGTTACTTTGTAAATTTCCTTTTCTGACTACAATTCTGCAGTGAAATAAAGTGTCTTAAAAGTAGAGTTAGAAACCCAGACAATTTCTTAAAGGAACTACATGTTCCAGTGAAGCAAGTCTAAGATGAACGGCAGGTCAAGTTTGGTGCTAGCAATTAACAATTAAAATAAATTCCCATTGAGACTCCAAGATAAACTCTTCTTTAAGAAGTCCGGAATCAGACTGCTGCAAACAGATTTCTTTCCTCAGATTAGTCACCTAATTCCCTGTTTTATATTCCACAGCTATAAAAGACTTTCAAGTACTTTCTGCATATTAGTGCTGGGACAAAAAAAAAAAAATCCTGAAGTATTTTAAGAATTAATGAAAACTGGTGTATGTGCTTTCTAGCTATTCAACAAACACAAAGGAAATAAAGCCTTACAGCCCACATTCTCCCATCCCAGAACACAAAAAGGTGGTTCCTGGATGAACATGGCATATCCCACAGAAACTGAATTTTAGTTTGAAGTACGTCTCAAAGAAGAATAAAGTAACAGTATATAAACCCAACAACAGCAACAAAAAAAACCCCAATGAAAATCACTATTACAGATTCAATTACATTTAAAAAAAGAAGGCATAAAGCTATACCTGCGTCCTCTGACTAGAAGTCTTGATGCCTTCCCTAGCATTTCTAATGCTTGCCGTAAACGTTCTTCATTCTAGAGAAGAACAAAAAGAATTCATGCATTCCTATTTCATCTGCATAGAATTAAGACCACTAGACCTTAATCTAAGTATGTCATCTGTAACTTAGAACAACTGTTAATTATTATATCAGCAGTTCACACACTCAAGGGAAACACGAAGAGTATTGGTGCACCCCACTCCCACAGCCAGCTCCCATATGGATCTACAGAGCAAAGTAACATCAATGCAAACTTGCTAATCTGGAAACACGTAACAACTGACAATAGAGAAGCACGCCAAAGGCAGTAGCAAAAAGGCAAATCATCTGCTCATGGGGTGGGTAGAGCATCAAGCAAACTCTTCCCTTCTGTGCCTTCAAGGATTTCAAACTGTTTTTGGCTCCAGGACTCAACAGCAGCCATGTTCCCTACCCTCTGGGCTGCCCAACAAGAGGCAGAAAACTTGACCACATACAAAATTCAGATCCAGTCAAGTCCCAAACTGAGAAAAAGGCAAAGCAAACTGACTTCTAACTTCTGTAATCTCCTTCTCTACAGCATAAGCAGCCTTCAGCTTCATCACTCAGCCACTGGTTTTGGCTCCAGGACTCAACAGCAGCCGTGTTCCCTACCCTCTGGGCTGCCCAACAAGAGGCAGAAAACTTGACCACATACAAAATTCAGATCCAGTCAAGTCCCAAACTGAGAAAAAGGCAAAGCAAACTGACTTCTAACTTCTGTAATCTCCTTCTCTACAGCATAAGCAGCCTTCAGCTTCATCACTCAGCCACTGATGTGAAAGGAAGGAAAAATAATTTAGAACCTAATCTTAGGCTTTTTCTTAACTTTATAGCTGACCCTAAACACCAATTCATTCATCTTCACATACCTTCTGGGACTGGAAAGTTCTTTGCTGGGGGTGGGGGCGAGGGGGAAACCACAAACCAAAAAACCCCCACTTACTTCAAACACTGATGCTGCTTGCTGATAGAGCTGCACAGCCTTCTCTGGGCTTACATTTTCTATTAACCTGTAATAAACACAAATCTTTTCTCTTCAGGTGAAATGAAAATATTTTTTACCTAAAAGCATCAAAAAGACAAGAAAGAAAACCAAAGACACATCCATGCCCTGCATACCTTCTAGCCACCAATACCACAGACTTACTTTCCAGCTCGTTCCAGTGCAATAGCTGCTGTATCTGGTGTCCCGTTCTCCAGGTACATCATACTGGCTTTCTCGATCAGCTGAACTGCTTCAGGGAGTCTCTGCATCTCCTGCAAAGCAATAGTCAGAGGGATGCTGCTGTCAGGAATTGTGCTTACGTACAATGAAACAAATCAAAGCAAACTGTAATACCTTATTTATTAAGATTCTAATTTTTATTTACAGACTTGTAGAGCTAGTGAAAGTTGACCACCAACTGCATAAAATTCACTTGTAAGTACCAAACTCTCACGTAAGGCATGAGTTTGTGGTAGTTTAGAGCAGAAGCAATACCACTCTTCCGTTACCCTCTGACATGAGGCCCTCACCTTTCCTTCTACAAAACGAAAACCATTTTTTTCCCCAATTACAAATGTCGCTTCCCTAATCTACTGAGAGTATTGGTGGGGACTATGAGTCAATAGAAAAATATCACTTTAACATGCAATTCGCTTACATATATTTGTAAAATGGTCCAGTGCACAATATTCTTCACAAAAAAAATAGAGCTTTTAAATAAAAACTGGTAAATTAAAATACCTTTAGCATCATGCCAGCTTGTTCATAAGCTCTGCAGAGAAAAAATTTACAATTTAGTTAGACATGGTGTATTTCAGCAAGTTGTAGTTATGCAGCAAAAGTTAACATGCATCAGCTATCACTTCATTGTTAATATTTAATGCTTTGAAGATGTTTCAAGTGTTTTATTTAATGAGACAGTGCATGTGTAACATTATCTTCCACAAATGAAGTACTTCAACCATACTCCCCACTAAAAAGTTATTCTTATGATCTGACCCACAGGCAATATTTGGATTATTTATCATTATCTGCTTGCTTTGAAGTACTCTTTAGTTAAAAACTTCTTCATAAGCTCAACAGTGTAGAATTTCAAAATTAAAAAAGTTCATATAAGAAAAAATATTTGATATCAGGAGGTGCTAAAGAATGTCAAAATCATCCTTTCTTCACATGGCCATTGCAGGTTTTCAGACTTTCCTAGCTGCACTTCCATTAAGCTGATTTTGAAACAGTGAAATCACTTGAACCATACCATTTACTACAGCAAGATCAAAATGATAGTTCATGCTTGTACCATATGTTAGAAAATTTGTTTCAGATTACTCAGTGCTTCTGTACTTACTTGGCAGCATGGAAGAGACTGGAAGTAACATTGTCAAAGTCAAGGACAAAAGCCACAAAAATATAATGCAGAAAAATGATTAGCGTACAAAATCTTATACAAGCACTAGTTTCAAAGCAAGGAATCCCATAAAGGCAAATCGAACCTACTACATTTGTAGGCAAGGCGTCAAAAATAAATGCTTCTAAGGACAGAGTAAATGCAACATACCAAGGTATAACTGCACATAAAGTTATAAAAAGCACATTTTAAAAAATATGTTCTTGGTTACTAAATACTACTATGAGTACTGTAATAATGTCAGAGTCACATTTAGTTTATATTATCCATTTGTAGGTATTTAAAAAAAAAGTAAATAAAAAAATAGTAAATAGTAATAGTAAATAGTAATTTCTGAAGCAGTACCTAGACTGGCACTGGTCAGCATCTTATCACTCCAGATGTTATTGGAAACAACACAGATCAAGAGAGTTCTTTAGTTTTCCCACTCAGACCACACAGGAATAGTCTTTTAAAAGGCAATTTTGTTAGACTGACAAAATCGCAATATATTAAATACATCTTCTACCAACCCCCATTACCCCATTCTAAGTAGCAACTAGTCAGCTTCTTGGAAAAAAGAATAACAATTGATGAAAAGATACGCTTTATTGTTTTCATGTGCCTCAGCTTCCCGTAAACAGGCTTCCCTTGCCTGGTCAAACTGCTTGGCATTCTTAAAAGCAACAGCTGCAAGAAATCAAATAAAGATCTTATTTACAGCTTGCCATTTTCCTTTTTTCACCACTTCTGCTCAAGAATTTAGCCACCTAAAGATGCAGATAGACTTTTTAAATAAATGATTACAGTTTACCAAGCTCTTCCAAAAAAATCGCATGACAGTCCTCCTTGCTTTGTTAGTCACTTAGTTACCATTAAAAGCATTTATTATCAACAACACTTCCATACCACCACTGTACCACACACTGTACATAATGTGTTTAGCTGGATTTTGGAACTCACTCATTCTGTATTTTAATTACAGAACTGCAGGAATGCTTATGTATATAGTTTTAATCATTAGAGGTTATACAAAATCAGTATGGCAGGAATAGAAGCGTACCATTGTCCTGGTTTCAGCTGGGATAGAGTTAATTTTCTTCCCAG